CTCCAACTATAATCTCAAGCCATGGTGTGTTACGCTTGATTGCTTCTTCAAGATCAAAATTCTCCAATGTTTTTTCCAATTTCCGGATAGCTTCATCACTTTCTGATCTCCACTGCTTTATGATGCCATCCACATGTTTGCTGTGCCGCTGTCTTTGTAACAACTCTCGTTCGAAGGCGTCCAAACGAAATTCATCGTGTATATCATCTCGACATAATTCTATGAAATCTTCAATTTTATCATCAGGCATTTCTCCTTTCAACAATTTTTTCTTCAATGCTTGCTTTTTCCGACCTTTAAAACTCTTCATCTTGCACTGTCCAAAAAGTGCTTCGATCTCTTCATTACTTAGCGATCCACGCAACATTTCCAACCTCAGCAACTCTAATCTCTCTTCATCAGCAACAAGTAAACCGTGAAGATCTACCTCACTCTTATCTCGCTGGAAATTGAAAAACATAAACAGTTCATCGCAAGCATCCCGATTGTATTTATTCATTAACCCGCCAAAGAAATCCTTAAAACCTTTACAAAGTCTTAAGCTTGGACTATTCCTTAACGACAGTCGTAATACTCTATCAAGAGAAGTAAACCTCTTTTTCCATTTCATACGAACTTTGGCAACTTCCGCAGCTTTCCTTCGGTAATATAAACCACGAAGAAGATGCTGAACAACTTCTTTACCAATTGGATGGCGATGAGATTGAACATTTCTGAAGTCAATGATGACATTTGTTTGATCTGCTGATTCGTTGATTTCAACACGATCTTTAAGTTGAAGAACTCTTTTGATGTTATTGACGTGTGCAGAATCTGCACCCAAGATATCGTATTTTTTAGCATTTTGACAGACCAGTTGGTAGCCATTCTGATCTGGAAGACGCTGTATTTGACAGTTGTTTTCATTGTAAGGGACAAACTCTCCATCATCATCGCCTGTTAGAAATGATATAAACATACGAGAGCCCAGACAATCAACAATATCATCAACGGGAACTTGATCTCTTTCTAATAATACATTTTTGTGTTTCTCAAGAAAAGATGCAATTTCCTCACTTTCCTTATGAGAGACTTCAAATTTCGTGACTGGGGGAATTTGTTTTCCATTAAGCAGAAGAACAAGATCTTTTGACCAAGGTCTCTCACCCCTTACAATTATGTCAAAATATTTCTTACCGTTCTTGGAATACATAAGCTTTTGTACAATCTTATTTTCACATGGTGAAGCGGTTTCCAGTACGTAGATTTCAGGCGAATCTGCAAGTATCGGCTCACCAAAAACATCAACAATGGCTAGTCGATATACGCATTCATCTTCAAGCGAATCCATTTTCGTGACAACTATTTCACACAAACTGCTGGAACACGGACTGCAAGTTACGTAGAACTCTTTGATAAATTTAAATTGATCAATCTTAATAGATATTGAAATATTCCCTGTTTCACTGCATTTCATATTAAAGTGAAGACGACCAGCCTTAGCTTTGTAATCCCAAAATTCTACGTGAGAATTGCTGCTTAGCCCTATCGTGTGTGTAGAATTGGACAGTTGTTTGCCAAACTGATCAATGATAACAGCACTGCATGCAGTCCATTGGTTTTGGTATATAATATCACCTTTAATAGGTTTAAAGGTTTTATCTTTCGATGTAGTTTTAAGTTGACAAGTAAAATTTCTCAAGTAAATCTTCAATGGTGTTTGTGGTGGTCTTACTGACTCTGCTGGTGAGGACTGACCAGGCTGTGTTTGTGGTGGTTTTACTGACGAGGACTTAAAAGATTGTGTTTGTGGTGGTTTTACTGACTCTGCTGGTGAGGACTGACCAGGCTGTGTTTGTGGTGGTTTTACTGACGAGGACTTAAAAGATTGTGTTTGTGGTGGTTTTACTGACTCTGCTGCCGGTGAGGACTGACCAGGCTGTGTTTGTGGTGGTTTTACTGACGAGGACTTAAAAGACTGTGTTTGTGGTGGTTTTACTGACGAGGACTTAAAAGATTGTGTTTGTGGTGGTTTTACTGACTCTGCTGGTGAGGACTGACCAGGCTGTGTTTGTGGTGGTTTTACTGACGAGGACTTAAAAGATTGTGTTTGTGGTGGTTTTACTGACTGTGCTGGTGAGGACTGACCAGGCTGTGTTTGTGGTGGTTTTACTGACGAGGACTTAAAAGACCGTGTTTGTGGTGGTCTTACTGACTCTGCTGGTGAGGACTGAACAGACTGTGTTTGTGGTGGTTTTACTGACGAGGACTTAAAAGACCGTGTTTGTGGTGGTCTTACTGACTCTGCTGGTGAGGACTGAACAGACTGTGTTTGAGGTGGTTTTACTGACGAGGACTTAACATGCTGTGTTTCTGGTGGCCTTACTGACTTTGGTGAGGACTTACTAGACTGTGTTTGCGGTGGCCTTACTGACTTTGCTGAGGACTTACTAAGCTGTGTTTGTGGTGGTTTTACTGATTCTGCTTGTGATAACTTAACAGGCTGTGTTTGTGGTGGTTTCACTTGACGAGCTTGATGTTGTTGTTTGGCATGGTGAATAATGGCAAACTGAGTTACTTTGCTAGGACCAGTATTTCTCGACTTAATTCGTATGATATTTACGGGTACTGCTGAAATATTCGTGGCAACTTCTGAACCACTCGATGTTTGCCCAGTACGGGTCGATGTACACTCAATGGAACTACTTGAGCCTGTGAAGATTAGACGTTCCTCTCGGGGTTGTGTTGATTTTCTAGCAGTTTGTGAGTAGTAGGAAGATGAAGGTCTTGTTGCCCCAGACGAATATCGTTGGCTGCTGCTGGAACGACTGCTTCTAGTTGGGTAATTACTCACCGATTGTTCGAACACTTTAGGAATATCATGGTCAGGATAAGTATTTCGACGTCGAGTTGACAAACCAAAACAGGATAAACAACTGCCGCGAATTCGTTCAAGTACTCCCATGCTTAAATGATTGCCATGCATATATGCATGCTTAATGCCGAAACAGATTTCTTATTTGTACATACGTATTGCACATATATATATATATATATATATATTTACCTTTACCACGCAGTAGAACTTGTGACTAGCTGTACGTCCTGCTGCTTCTGTACGTGATTTTCCCATGCCTTTCCATGAATCACTGTTATTCTAGGTAGTTGGCTTTCGGGAGTGCTCTTTTGTTATTGGCCATCCAAATAAAATAGCCAATCAACATCCGAGTTCACCGTGTCATTCAAGACTATAAACATTTTAAATTAAATAAATTAGACTTCACGCCGTGAGCCGGTGAGGGCATGTTATCCGAATTTATCAAGGATCAAACGGACTGCATTTTTAATTAGTTTAATAATTTTGAGCGATTTGTCAACAATACAATTTCGCTTATTAAAACTGCACATTAAAACCTTCAAAATATAATATTTTGGGCTCAAACTACTAACAAACTAAAGAGAAAAGTGAGACAAATCCACTGGTATACGGCCGAAAAAGAGAAAACCGACAATACGAAAGTTATCAAGGATCAAATGTTCTGCGTTTTTAATTAGTTTAATAATTAATAATTTTGAGCGATTTGTGAACAATACAATTTCGCTTGTCTTTCAAAGGCCATAATCATAATTCATAAATCGCTAGAATACTGTTGCTTAGTAATACATTTGACATCTGTGAGCGGCTTGTCTTTCAAAGGCCATAAATTGCTAGAATAGAAATCAATTTTGAAATCAATTTTCCATTCATAAATACAACGTTTCACGCTGATTCGAACAGTGGTATTGTTGTCCTTGTTTGGCCCATAAAACTAGTGATAAAGCCTAGCAAACAGCCGACCGTGAGAGTACAAGATTAATTAATTTTCCCGCAAAAATGAGCAAGCACGTGCAAGGAATTTTTACTGGGCGATTAAGGAAACGTATTGATGCGAAGCAAACAAACGGACAAACTCACAGGCAGAATATAAAGCGGTGCCAAACTTGGGCACCGCAATTGGTTCGTGCGAGTGCGGATATTTAGGAACACTTCCATTGCCACGATTGTAAAGTTGGAAAACGAAATCACCACATATATTGATCAAACTTGACAAGGAACATTCATTTAGAAAACCAGGGGCGTCGGAAGGGGGCGTCCCCCCCTCCACTTTTTTAGTTGGAGGGACTTAAATGTCTTTGCCCTCCACTTCGCTCGAAATGTCGAAGGCTCCTTATATTTTTCAAGTATCTCTATCAATACGCAGCTTTCTTATTATTGGCACTGTCAACACTGGTAGTAACATGGCCTACAATCCTGGACAAAACATCTGCGACACTTCCAATTACTTGACAAAATGTCGTAATATTATCGTAAATTTAGAAAACCTCCCCCTTACCCCCACCAATCAATGTTGATTGCATTCGTAGAATACAGGTAAAACGTCCAACATTGTTTTGGGGGGTGGAGGGGTGCAAACGAGTAAATTATTCCGATCACGGTTAATATTAACCGTGTTCCGATCTAACTGGTAAGAAAAGCCACAAAGGAATGTTTTAATAGAGTGTCGCAGATGGTTTTGTCCAGGATTGTAGCTTTAATATATGTGTATGTAACAAAACTACAGTCAAGTATGTTTTACTGTTGCAAACCTGACTTAATGTGCAATCAAATTTTCCACTGTTTGACGCGCATTCTGAGGAAGATTTGAAAAAGGCTAATTTAGGATTCGATGAATATTAAACACCGTTTTCTGTTCTGGTATAATCATTGATACTTATTAAAAAGTTGAATCTTGACATAAAATAGTTTTGTTTCCTGAGTGACGCTGTTCAGTAATCAGAATCAGAGTCATAGTAATCATCTTCGTTGCAAGGATATCCTAACTCCTGACATTTCTGGCAAAGACTTGTTTGATGAGGACCTCGCTGACGTTTCTCCGACCTAGCACCATCACGCTGGTAATTTTCGACTTTCTCTTTTTCTCGTTGTTTGACTGGCCAACAATTGACTTGGCATCGAGAACATTTCTGATATTTCATGACATAACTTTTACTGCTTTTCCAACATCGGTCACAATTCACGCAATAATATTCTCCGAAACAAGGCTCGGGACCTCTGTAGGTTTGAAACGTGACTACAAGTGATCCTTTGTTCACAGCAGCAAACTGAAGATTTCTTTCTTTGAGAAGTTTCTCAACTTTTGGTCGGATATTTTGTTCATTCTTTCTTCTACTGTGACGACCAGCTCCAACTATAATCTCAAGCCATGGTGTGTTACGCTTGATTGCTTCTTCAAGATCAAAATTCTCCAATGTTTTTTCCAATTTCCGGATAGCTTCATCACTTTCTGATCTCCACTGCTTTATGATGCCATCCACATGTTTGCTCTGTCGCTGTCTCTGTAACAACTCTCGTTCGAAGGCGTCCAAACGAAATTCATCGTGTATATCATCTCGACATAATTCTATGAAATCATCAATTTCATCTTCGGGCATTTCTCCTTTCAACAATTCGTTCTTCAAAGCTTGCTTTTTCCGACCTTTAAAACTCTTCATCTTGCACTGTCCAAAAAATGCTTCGATCTCTTCATTACTCAGCGATCCACGCAACATTTCCAACCTCAGCAACTCTAATCTCTCTTCATCAGCAACAAGTAAACCGTGAAGATCTACCTCACTCTTGTCTCGCTGGAAATTGAAAAACATAAACAGTTCATCGCAAGCATCCCGATTGTATTTATTCATTAACCCGCCAAAGAAATCTTTAAAACCTTTACAAAGTTTTAAGCTTGGACTATTCCCTAACGACAGTTGTAATACTCTATGAAGAGAAGTAAACCTCTTTTTCCATTTCATACGAACTTTGGCAACTTCCGCAGCTTTCCTTCGGTAATATAAACCACGAAGAAGATGTTGAACAACTTCTTTACCAAATGGATGGCGATGAGATTGAACATTTCTGAGGTCAATGATGACATTTGTTTGATCTGCTGATTCGTTGATTTCAACACGATCTTTAAGTTGAAGAACTCTTTTGATGTTATTGACGTGTGCAGAATCTGCACCCAAGATATCGTATTTTTTAGCATTTTGACAGACCAGTTGGTAGCCATTCCGATCTGGAAGACGCTGTATTTGACAGTTGTTTCCATTGTAAGGGACAAACTTTCCATCATCGTCGCCTGTTAGAAATGGTATAAACATACGAGAGCCCAGACATTCAACAATATCATCAATGGGAACTTGATCTCTTTCTAATAATACATTTTTGTGTTTCTCAAGAAAAGGTGCAATTTTCTCACTTTCCTCGTGAGAGACTTCAAATTCCGTGACTGGGGGGATTGGTTTTCCATTAAGCAGAAGAACAAGATCTTTTGACCAAGGTCTCTCACCCCTTACAGTTATGTCAAAATATTTCTTACCGTCCTTGGAATACATAAGCTTTTGTACAACCTTATTTTCACCTGGTGAAGCGGTTTCCAGTTCGTAGATTTCAGGCGAATCTGCAAGTATCGGCTCACCAAAAACATCAACAATGGCCAGTCGATATACCCATTCATCTTCAAGTGAATTAATATGCGGCGAATCAATTTTCGTGACAACCATTTCACACAAACTGCTGGAACACGGACTGCAAGTTACGTACAACTCTTTGATAAATTTAAATTGATCAATCTTAATAGATATTGAAATATTCCCTGTTTCACTGCATTTCATATTAAAGTGAAGACGACCAGCCTTAGCTTTGTAATCACAAAATTCTACGCGAGAATTGCTGCTTAGCCCTATCGTGTGTGTAGAATTGGACAGTTGTTTGCCAAACTGATCAATGATAACAGCACTGCATGCAGTCCATTGGTTTTGGTATATAGTATCACCTTTAGGTTTAAAGGTTTGATCTTTCGGTCTAGTTTTAAGTTGACAAGTAAAATTTCTCAAGGAAATCTTCACTGGTGTTTGTGATGGTCTTACTGACACTGCTGGTGAGGACTGAACAGACTGTGTTTGTGGTGGCCTTACTGACTTTGTTGAGGACTTACTAAGCTGTGTTTGTAGTGGTTTTACTGATTCTGCTTGTGATAACTTAACAGGCTGTGTTTCTGGTGGCCTTACTGACTTTGCTGAGGACTTACTAAGCTGTGTTTGTGGTGGTTTTACTGATTCTGCTTGTGATAACTTAACAGGCTGTGTTTGTGGTGGTTTCACTTGACGAGCTTGATGTTGTTGTTTGGCATGATGAATAATGGCACGCTGAGTTACTTCGCTAGGACCAGTATTTGTCGACTTACTTCGTATTTTATTTACGGGTACTGTTGAAATATTCGTTGCAACTCCTGAACCACTCGATGTTTTCCCAGTACGGGTCGATGTACACTCAATAGAACTACTTGAGCCTGTGAAGATTAGACGTTCCTCTCGGGGTTGTGTTGGTTTTCTAGCAGTTTGTGAGTAGTAGGAAGATGAAGGTCTTGTTGCTCTAGACGAATATCGTTGGCTGCTGCTGGAACGACTGCTTCTAGTTCGGTAATTACTCGCCGATTGTTCGAACACTTTAGGAATATCATGGTCAGGATAGGTATTTCTGCGTGGAGTTGACAAACCAAAACAAGATAGACAAGATAAACAACTGCTGCGAATTCGTTCAAGTACTCCCATGCTTAAATGATTTCCATATGCTTAATGCCGAAACAGATTTCACATTTCATAATCTTATTTGTACATACGTATTGCACATATATATTTACCTTTACCACGCAGTAGAACTTGTGACTAACTGTACGTTCTGCTGCTTCTGCACGTGATTTTCCCATGCCTTTCCATGAATCACTGTCTGTTATTCTAGGTAGTTGGCTTTTGTTATTGGCCAGCCAAATAAAATAGCCAATCAACATCAGAGTTCACAGTGTCATTCAAGACTATAGATTAGAGGGCATGTCTCTTCGCTGTCATTTGATACTACGTTTTCATGTCTCTTCACTGTCATTTGATACTACGTAATCGACATAGGGTGAGGATAATACGCGGATACGGACGGACGGACGGCACCGGAGAAAAGATTATTTTCATGTAAATCTTGTGGGTCAATTACGGTCACTTCTTGCCTTGCCTCTTTATGATTGGTCAATTCCACCAAACCTGAAGGTGATTGGTGCATTCATACAGGAAATTTATTAGTTATACGGGAAATTGTCAAGTTTTCATTTTTCGAAGAAGTCGTCAAAAGAATTAGTTCGTGCGAGTACGAATATTTAAGGACACTTCCATTGCCACGATCGTAAAGTTGAAAAACGAAATCACCAGAATAATTAACAGTTATTCTACGCACTCGAGTCGAATATGAGCTGATAGCCGATGAGGCGCCGAATCGGCTATCGCTCATATTCGACGAGAGTGAGTGGAATAACTGTTTTATTATATACACAAGGTCTGAATTCACAGACTTTGCTTTTCTGTTATTTTCAATATTTTTCTATTTTGTTTATGTTTTTATCTTCGCTCTTTCGGCCGATTATTTTTTCAAAAATATATATTTTTAACCATTTTAAATTTTAAAAATTCATTTGCTAACCTGCAAACAATTTGTGGGAGTTTTTCATTGTGTTTTTAATCTTGAAAAAAAAACTATAAAAGGCAAACAACCTGCCGTTTTCTCGTTTGCAAACGTCGGAAATTCAGTTTGGCCGCCATTTTGTTTTTCTCTACTAGCAAGATATGAGCTAATATCCTGCTAGTAGAGAACCAATCAGATTGCAGAATACCTCATATCCAGACCTTGTGTATATAATAATTAATGTTATTTTGATCAAACTTGACAAGGCACTTTCATGTAGAAAACAAATTAACCACAAACTAGTAAAGCCACAAACTATTATGAGAAAAATCATAACAGAAACCTCGAAAGAAACAATATAAACAGTTTCCATATTTATTTATTTCACAAATTAAATAATAGTTTATAAGTCGCTGTAAAAGTATAAATCACAGATTGTCCTTGACAAAGGCAATCTGTGACTTATATATACTCATGAATGCAGTAAATGATATGACCGATGGTGACTTTCTAACGTTGTCCTTTTAGGACGAAGATGACGTCACGGATTCAGCTATGATTGGTCCTTCATTGCAGGAATTTCAAAAACATGGTGGGTGATGAAAAACCGTGTTATGTTACACTAAATTGCTCAGGATTAACATTTAGGTTATGTTTCTCGCGCGCGAACATAATTTAGTGTTAGAATTAAAGGAATAGGGTTGTGATTGGAGTCATGATCATGATAAGCGTATTCATCCGGGTGGTATCCTGGGGCGAGGGTATACTAATTCCGCTCGGTTATTTACACCCACCCGGCGAAAAAAGGAGATCGCTTAGCGGAGTCAAAAGTCCTTAATGTTCTCGGGCGCGTGGCTGTGATCCAAGGTTTCATGGGGTGGACCTCTCAGTAAAAATATGGCAAATGTCAGGAGTAGGATTAGGGGCGGACCATTAGAAAAGTGATGAGGGGGTGGGGAAAAAACAAAAATAAAATTCGAGCAGGGAAAATAGAAAGAAAAAAAAAATTCGTGCACCAGAAATGTCTGAAAAAAAAATTCGTGCAGAGACTTTTCAATAGGGAAAATGTCAGGGCCTATCGGAGGTACAGTGTAAGGGTGTCCCCGAAATTTCGAAAATAAGCGTTTTAATCGTGTTTTAAGAAGTTTTTTCGGTGAAAAGGTTTTTTAAACCTTAATTGAAATGATGTTAGTCCGCCCCCCCCCCTCGCTCGCCAGCAATTTTTTTGGGGAAAAAATAAAATTCGAGCAAGGGATTATTAAAAAAAAAAAATAACCGACACAGCAAAACATTTTTGAAAATAATCATTGCGTTGAAATGGACCCCCATCGCACTGTGGTCACTTTGCTTAGTAGAATTTGATCAATGTGTAGCCTGAAGGCGGAAAATTGTTTACTGCATGCAGACGTACAGCTATAAACAGTTATAATAGTCTTTTAAAACAATTAAAATTGTTTTTACAATTTTGTACAAAAAATAGAAATAATCGCGTTACACGGCAAAAAACGCGGAGCCCGCTGCTTAACAGGATTGAACAATGTTGTGCTGCCCACATTGTTCACACTTGTCAACAATATTGAACAATGTTGTTGAGCCTGAATCGGGTGTAACAACATTGTTCAATATTGTTGACAACTGTGAACAATGTGGGCAGCAAAACATTGTTCAATCCTGTTTTCATCAATCAATATTGCAACAACCTGAGCGTTTTTACGCGTGTACCTGGCCACAGCAAATACTTCTACTGCCGATACTTCATGTTTGAAAAATATA